CCAATGGTCACGCGAATGCACGCCTTGCCAGCAATCCAAGGTACACCGACACACACGTCTTCAACCGAATCACATTGATGTACCTGATTCGAGATTCAACCACATACACATCGACATAATCATCTTACCAAACGTAAAAGGCTATCAATACTGTCTCACCATAGTCGATCGCTTCTCAAGATGGCCAGAAGCTGTACCCATGATGGACATGACAGCTGATACGGTGGCAACTGAACTCTTCAACCACTGGATTTCTCGCTTCGGATCTCCAATCACGATCACATCAGACCAGGGAGCTCAGTTTGAGTCCGCTCTGTTCAAGGCCCTAGCCAACCTAGTAGGCGCAGAAAAAAACCGAACGACAGCATACCATCCACAGTCAAATGGTATCGTTGAACGCATGCACCGCACACTTAAAGCAGCGCTCATGTGTTCACCAAAACCCTGGCTCGAAATCCTGCCTACTGTCCTACTAGGACTCAGAACATCATTCAAAGAAGACATCCAGGCCACTCCAGCTGAAATGTTATATGGAACGTGCCTGAGAATACCAGGAGAATTCTTCGTCACAGCAGATCTTCCACCTGATCCACAGATCTTTGTAGAGAAGCACAGGGAGTACATGCGTGGCATCCACCCAACACCAACGGCTCATCACACGAAGGCCAGAGTCTTCATACTTAAAGACTTGGAAACGTGTTCACACGTCTGGCTACGCTGCGATCACGTAAGAGCCCCTCTTGAACCACCTTACCAAGGCCCGTACAAAGTCGTCAGCCGTCTCACTGACAGACTTTACAAACTGGACATAAATGGGGAAGAAAAAAATGTTTCTGTGGACAGACTGAAACCTCACTACTGCAGCAAAACTGACAGTGATCTTGCTGAAAATGAAAATGAAGCAGATGCTGTCATTCCAACGTCGAATCAAGCCCAAGCACATCACTGGGGATCAACAATGGACCCACCAAAGAGGACCTACGCACGGACCGTGACTTTCAAGGCTCCCGCCGAAAGCCACTCGGGGGGGAGTGGTTGTGGCGGTCCTGCCGCCTCGGTCGCGCTCCCAGCGACCAGAAGTCAAAACAAATCTACCAAAGCGCAAATCGTCGGAGCGGGAAACTCTCCCTCTCTCTACAATAAACAATCCCACACAAATTCAAATAATCCCGCCTTTCTGCACGCCATAGCTGTGGCGTGACTGTGCAGTATTATTATTAATAATATAAAAATTGTGACCTGACTAATTATAAGGAGAGACGCTAAGTTTTTTATGTAATAAATAAGTGAATAAATATTATCAAACACGAATTATTCTTGCAATATTATTATCATTATTAGTATATAGTGTAGTACACCTTAACAACTACAATTTTGTAATACTGCCTGACATCTAATAACAAGCATTATAACTACAATGGATTTCGATGGTAACGTGTCATATACCGACTGTGAGGAGAATTTGATCTGCAGAGCCTGCAACGTACCCATCCCTGATAGCCAAACTGGTCGCAACTTTCCGTTGATTTGCTGCAGCAACTTGTCACCAAGTTGGCGGCAAGTCTTGGAAATGAACTCGGTTGTTCACCAACTTGTCGGCAGAAATTGCTTTCGAAACTCTTTCGCATCAAGTTGACGACAAGTTTCTCGAGAAATTTGGCGACATATTGCGGCAGTAGATTGGTCTTGTTTTTCTCAGAAACTTGTAGCCAACTTGACGCCAACAGTTTCAAATTCGGAAGTTGTCGGTAAGTTGGTGGCAACTATCTGACACCAACTTGGTTGGTCTGAAACTGTAGCTATCAAGGGCATCTTACACGAGTCAATCGCATGTCCTAAATGCTCTTACATTTTTCCCAAGGCATGTGTTAAAACAGAAGCTTTAACTAAGAATGGTGAATTTACAAGGTGTTGTGGACCGGGTCGTAAAGCCTCAGCTTCTGGTGGCACGCTTCAATTTACTCTGAAAGACATAAAATATATATTAAGGGACGAAATCGCACCTCTAGCTCGGCGTATTGATAATGCTGATAAATACGCCTCGATAACATCGATTCTTATTTGAAGGATTTTACAACAAAGGGCCTTGCAGAGCATAAAGTCATAGTTGAACTCAACCAAAGGGTCGACAGCATTGAATCGGCGGGACTAAGAGCCTCAGCAGGCACTGATGGATCCCGGGATCTATTTCAAGAGTTTGATGACAAGTTGAACAGGCGTTTCAACCTAATGATTTACGGACTTGAGGAAGAATATACTCGCGACTCCAATAATGGCATTCTTCAAACTAAAATTATTGACTATTTTTCACAAGTCATGGATAAGCCGGTGTCGCAAACTAGGATTAAACCAGCATCGAGTACCATCCCGCGTCCTACCAAAGTAATGTTTGCTGATCCTGACATGGCTGAAACCGTTCTACAGGCTTTTATCTGGTGCAAAGTTCAGAAGAAACTCCCAACATCCCTCCAACATTTGGCATTAGCAAGAGACCAGACACCTGCCCAGAAAGCGGAATATCTCAGCCTCAAGGAGGAGATGAGGAAACGTACTCAAGCGGGGGAGAAGAATCTTCGCATTGTCACCAGGGGCACTCGACAGATTACTATACGGCATGCTCGAGCTGCGGCTCCGAGCCAGAGCAGAAATCAGTAAAACAACAAATGGTCACGAGGTGGCGGTGTGCCTATAACAGCCCGTTAGAATTTACGAACTGTATTATTTGATACCTTATCACTATCAACCTACGAAGACATCGACATTGTGGGAGTTCGTCTAGTGGAGAATCGCGATCTACTTCTGCTACTTGTCATATGCTCATCACCAGCTAGTGTTGGATAGAGGAATCTTTAGATTCATTGAACTGCTCTATGTGCAATTATTATCTGTATTTAATTTACATTTTTTTTTTATTGTTTTCTACTCATAGCTGCGTAATATAAATGAGTCAAATATGGACTCAATCTAATTAAATATGTTTACGCGCCAGATGGCTGTCTTGTACTTAAAAACTAAATTTTTCTACTTATAAGTACTCTGTATATGTATTATTAACCCTGTTAATGGCTTTAGCTGTTGGGTTTGATTTTCAATAAATAAAATAAAAAATAAATTGATTATTGCAAATTTATTTTCTTGCCACAAAAATGCCGATATATTTAAAAAAACTAAATTTTTTATAGTAAAAAAAATAAAAATAAATTTTTCTAGAGTCGAAAATGATGGAATATATTCAGCAAGAGTAATTTACAACCGTAAAAGTGGATACCGCGTAGATTTTTGGGGTCAAAACAACGACCTGGCAAGCCTACCAATGGGATCAGCACGCGCGTATTTCAAGCACCGAACCCACCAAACAGGCTGGTCGATTTTAGAAATCGAAACATCACCGAGCTTTCCAGATGAGATCCAAGCTTATTCAGCAGGGCTACTAGAAGGTAGCTTGACGTGGCTCTTGATTCACCTTCATTGGTACAACACAATAGCCACCGTGTGTGTTGAAGATCGCAAAGCAATTTGCGACGTAGTCAGGCAGCAGCTTCGCGATAATTCTGAGGTAGCTCGGGGTCACGCCAAGCTTCTGGGAGCTGAAGATCCATTCTGGCACATGGTCAGGCTGTTCTACGCTCAGCTGGATGGCTTGAAGGAAGGCTGGAATTATGAACTTACACGGAATCAGCAAGAAGTCGAAATTCCAGACGAAGACTTCATCTGGTTGGCGATGGTCTCTGACTTGTCTAACTTTGGGCTTGATGATCCACAGCACGCTGGCATCGGGGGAATTTTATTGAAAAATTTAACCAAGCAGGCTGATGTTGAACCGCTTATTGCGCTTGTCCATAATACTGCAGCACCGTGAGTTTTATTTTTTATTATAATAATTTAATAATTATTAAAATAAAGTTTGCCGACATTTAAAAAATTAATTCATTATTTTTTTTTATTAAAAAAATTAATTGATTTTTTTATTTTTTTTTTTTTTTTTTTTTTTTTTTTTTTTTTCAATTAATTAATTAAGTAATCGTTGGTACATCCAAAATGGAGTGACATCCGGACGTCCACATAAAATTTTTTTCAAAACGTTTTTTTTTTTTTTAAATAGCAACATAAAATGATTTTAGAAAGTAAAAGATGGTTTAATTTAAGTGTTTTTTCGGTGTACATCAATTTATATCATTGAATAAGTGGAATATGGTTGTGATAGAGGCATTTAAAGATCACAAAATTGCTTGACCTTGACGAGTCGAGTATAAAGCACAACCTTACGCTCTTCGCGCTATAAGGCGTGCAATAGCCAAACTTTGGCTTTTCATTGATAGCAAACCTGATTTAGAGGAGGTCATTAAAAAAGATTTTCCCGATGAATGCCCGTTAATTTTGGCCCATAAATTACCCTTTGTGACATGTGACTTTCTGGATGCCAATAAACTGAAATTTCATCTGGTTGAGCAATTCCCAGGAGACGTTTTATTTGTGAAAGGGGCAGTTTACCACCAGGTGATTAATATTAATTAAAATTTTGCTCCTGCCCGGTAAAAAAATTAACAATTATTCCTCCTGATAGGAGCACGATTGTGAAGACGACACTTTATAAAAAAAAAAAAATTAGAAAAACGGTTCACCCTAAAGGCCATCCCTGCAACTTCCCGCTCATTTTGTACTCAAACGCTTCAAACTACACATTACGTTTTTGAGCTCTTCGAGCTCAAAAATATTATTTTTGTATCAATTTGAGCTCTTCGAGCTCAAAACTCTAATAGCAGTTTAAAGACACAATTTTTTGAATTTTCAAACGGCAATAACTTTTGAATGAATGAACCGATTTTCACGCGGTTGGCGGCAATCGACGCAGTTTTTGAAGCTCCATGAAAATTTTTCAAGTTTAAATCGATCGAGCCATGAATTTCGAAGTTATTGCAAAAAAACATTTTTTTCGATTTTTTTCGAAAACGATATCTCACGAACGCATCAACCAATTCTGACGTTTTTGGTGGCGATCGATGGGGGTTTTCAAGGTTAAGAGCTGATTAGTTTTTGAGACCGATCGGTTCAGCCAATTCAGAGATATTTAAAAAAAATAAAAAAAAAAAACAACTTTTTTTTTCACTTTTTTTGGATTTTCTCGAAATCTACCGGTCCGAATCGGTTCAAATTTTCAAGAAATCTAAGTTTAGTGAAGCCCTTTCGAATGGCACCAACCGCGATAAAATCGGTCAAGTCGTTCAAAAGTTACAAGAGGTTTACATACATACACACACACACACACATACATACAGACGTACGGACATCATCGTAAAAATAGTCAGGGAAGTTTCCTGTGACCTTCAAACGTCGAGATCTGATGAAAACTCGATTTTTGTAAAACGGGGTGAAAACAATAACTTCCCGATTTTTGAAAATCTGAGATTTTTAGCGGGAAGTTAAAAATTATATTTATGTGAAATTGAAGGCTGTACTGAACGATTCACTCGTCGCAATACTCTGGAAGAACACTCGAGAACTGTTCATGAGCAAAACTTGCACAATTGCTCAGAGTGCGGCAAAAAGTTTACCACGATGTCGAACTTCAGACACCATCTATGCTTCAGGGGACGATAAAAGTGTCATCTTTGCGGAGTTGAAGTCGGACGACTGCGCGAACACATCAAGACGAAAAAACACCTAGCTGCTTTGAATAAATGTGGAAGCCAGGAAGTCCAAAAGATGACCAGTTTTTCGCCAGCAATAAGAAATAAAAATTCATCTATCAAATGTACTCAATGTGATAAATATTTTGCGGCACAACGTACTCTGGAGAGCCACGTAAAAAAGATTCACATTGACCATAAATATAATTGTAAATTGTGTAAAATTGATTTCCTATCAAATCACACGTTGACTCACCACAACATGGCTTTCTATAAAAAAGTTTGAAATGTATAAATTACATTGAAAAATTATAATTTTTTTTTTTTAAATTATTGAAAAAAAAAAAATAAAAAAAAAATTTTTTTATTTTTAAAAAACTTCAAAAACTATAAGTGCAATTTTTAAAAAATATTTTTTATTTATAATTTAATGAATTAAGCAAAATTTAAAAAATCAAAAATTTCGGCTAACTTTATTATTATTTAATAATTTTATTATCGATTAAATAATAATAATTTTAATATTCTTTTTATATCCGCTTTTCTGTCACAGGATTTCTGGTATTGAATATCTATTAATTTTAATTACTTAGTAATTCAATTATATTAAAAAATAATTATTTTCTTACAGGTACAGAAAAATGTTGAGATTGTTGAAAAAATATACTTTTGGTTACCATATTAATGGAGAAAAGAATTCTGAACGTGTACCAACTCGCTCAATTGTCCTTTCATCTTATCCTGGTGCTTTATCTTCTCAAGATGAATATTATGGATTGTATCAAGAAGACACTAAAAATTTAATGGTGCTTGCTGGTACTCCTTTATCGCTGTCAAAAGAATCTCAAGTTAATTTGGAAAGTAAAATAGATCAAGATGATGTACATTCAAATAGACCTGTAAGTATATCAGTTGATAATTTTATATCAAATGTCGATATGATTTAAATGAAAGGTCGTGATGAGTGTAACATCGGGATGAGCTTTTATCTTCATAAATATTATTATATCTTTATAAATATCAGTAGTTCATAAAATACAATGTAATTTCTTAATTATTGACATTTTTTAAGATATAAACTCATTTCGATGTTACACTCATCGAGACCTTTCATTTGAGTACCCACATGGCATTTTTTATATATTTTATATATATGTGGTATTTGTAAAATATATGAAAAATTTATGTGGGTACTCAAATGAAAGGTCCCAATGAGTGTAACATCAGGATGAGCTTATATCTTTAAAAATGTCAGTAGTTCATAAGATACAAGGTCATTTCTTAATTATTGATATTTTTAAAGATGTAAACTCATCCTGATGTTACACTCATCAAGAGCTTTAATTTGAATACACACATGCATTTTTGATATATTTTTCATATATACATATATATAATATGTATTTTAAATATATAAGCTCATTCCGATGTTACACTCATCAAGACCTTTCATTTGAGTACCCACATGCAATTTTGATATATTTTTCATATATACATATTTATAATATATATAAATATATAAAATATACGAAAAATTGATGTGGGTACTCAAATGAAAGGTCTTGATGAGTGTAACGTCGGGATGAGCTTATATCTTTAAAAATGTCAATAGTTCACGAGATACAAGGTCATTTGTTAATTATGTATCTGTAGAGTATTTTTAAATGCAGCCTAAATACTTATCATCATAAATGAACTTCTTATGTGGCAAATGAAAAGATTAAAAAATCTATTTTTTAAAAAGTTATCGTGTTTGTCCCTTTATAAAAATTTGAAGCCATATTTAAAATCACTTTTTTATTTCAAAATAGCAATTGTTAAAATTTTTCCAAGTTGAAAGATCATTTTTCTTTTTTCTATTGCTTTTTGTATTATTATAAATTATAATTGATATGTAAATTATATTTTCTAGAACATTGTAATGACAGCGGCTAAAATAATGGCAGCTAATTGGTTAGCAACAGACGTTAATTCTTGGTCGCGGACAATCGCTCGCAGAGACGGATCAGAAAACACACGTGAACTGCTTCAATGGGTGATTCTACGTCCCGCTGATTCATCAGTCTGGCTCGTTGAGCAACATCCTCTAATGACTCATGCTATTGATTATTCAAAAATTTTTCGAGAAAAGGGTTATCTATTTTGCGACGGCAATTCATTATTATTAAATCAAGAAAATATTTACATTAATAAAGAGTCAATTGTTGAAACTAAAAATATTCCAGAGCAAGTAATAAATATTAAAGATAATGAAAATATTAATTTAAATGATAAAAAAATTGAATCGAATTCAGAGGAATCGCAGGTTGGCCACGAAGAATATTTAAATTTATTTTTTAAATCATTAAACTCAAGCATTCATTTTAAATTTATTGAAAAAGAATTACCTTCAATGATTGATACTATGACATTCCGCGGTGATCTTGAAACTACACCTACTGCAATTGGGGTAATTGATTCAAAAGTTATGGTACTTAATGATCAAGGGTTGGTTGATTTTCAAGCTACCTCAGGGCCTCCTTGGTCTGCTGATCAAAAAAGTCCCTTTCAATGGTCTAATTCATTTCCTACTATTTCGCATATTGGTCAGCCGGATAAATTTCAATTTTCTAGTATAAATCCACATTGGGCATGGAATTGATCAATTTTTCATTAATGTCTTATATTTGTAAAAAATTATTAGACTGGAAATTTTTTAACAAAAAAAATTATTTTAAATTCCATGTGTAAAAAATAAAAAAAAATTTTTTTTTTTTGTTAGTAATTTAATTGAGCAATCAAAAAAATAAGTCTTGTGATTTAAGTATCATAAAAAAAAACAGTTGCAATATATAAATTTTTTAATTGTAGATAAAAATTGTAATAACAAATTGAATTGTAAATTAATTTTTAAACTGCGAATTTACCCAAAGGAATGTTTAGTAAATTGTATCATTTTTTTTTAATGATTATTCATATGTAAGCTACGTGTAAACAATCTGATGCAATAAAGATATACATCCAGAATATTAGCTTTATTATTTTATTTTTTTAATGATAATCAAAATTAAAAAAATTTTTTTAACAAATAAATTAGACAAAAAAAAAAAGAAGAAAAAATTGACATTTAGAAAATTAAAAAATGCAATTTTTTAGAAATAATTTTTCGGAGCAAATTTATTTATTAAAAAAAATAAAAAAATTATCAAGTGACAGCTAACTTTAATGTCATATTTTTTTTATTAGATTAAGAATTTATTGATGTTGCTATCAATAGATATATGTGACTAGCTGCCTTAAAGTTGATAAATTTTTAGCATTAGTAAATAAAATTATTAGGATTGTTAAAGAAAAATAAATAACATTGAAGAAAACAATGTTACAAGTACCTCTTACAGATTTTCATCATTTTTCGGTGATAAAAAAAAAATAAGGTAAAAGCCCCAATTATTGACACTATTGGAGACAAAGTTATGATTTGATTTTTTTTAAGCAATCAAATATCAATATCGTTGAATTTTGTTTGTGGTAATGTCTCAAGTAATGTTTTTACTAATCAAATTTTTTAAAATAATAATCACTGATATTTACTAATTAATTTTAAATAATTAAATAGATTATCCGGAGACACCAATTATTGGCAGGTTAAAAAACTGATTGATCTAATTATTGACATACCTTAGCCCCAATCAATTAATTTCGATTATTCAATTTTATAAATTTTTCATATATTGTTAATTAAAAAAAAAAAAAAAAAAGATGATATTATTAGACGAAGAAATGAATTTAAACTCGGCATTTAAAAAAAATGCTTTTCTAATCAAAGTTGTTAAGAAAATAAACTTTCGTAAGCTGGTTTTAACTGGGGGTAACTTTATTTTTTAATAATTAATATTTAATATTAACTGACAGTAATTTTTTTCAATTTTTTAACTAATTAGAATTTAATAAAAATTTATATGATAGCTATTCTTGTTACAGATAATTAAATATATTTAAAAATCATATAGGGTGTCAATATTTAGACCCCTGTCAATAATTTGAGCTATTTTACCTTAGGTCTGTAAATAAAAATACGAGATGATTTTTTCATTTAACAATTTTATTAAAAAAATATTAAAAACTCAGTATAAAGTTACAAACTATAAAAAGCTTTTATAAACATGTCTAAGTGCAGGTTGTTTAGGTACTCAACAATTTCCAAAACCACTTCATATGGCAACGGTATAGCTTCTCTAAGAGAAGAAACTTTTTTTAAGTTTTCGAGATGTTTCAATCTTTTTCTGGCATATATTACCCTCCCAAAAACTGGAGCCTGAAAGTAATCATCGAAATTATTGTCACGATCCAACCTGCGGTAACCATCGCTAAAGGCATCCAGTGAACTTTCTTCTTGCGCCAATAATTTGACTTTTTTATCGTTATAAGCTAACATTAGAAAATCAGACATTTTAATTTTTTTATCGCCTAATTCTATATTCACGAAATAAATGTCAGAGATTCTTTTTTTGTAGTTGCTTACAATGTTACTGATATTTTTGTCGCTTGAAATTAGTTTATCCATTAACTCAATTTCTTCTTTTGGAACAGGTAATTTAATTGCACGCCTAAAGACCAGATCCTTCAAAGCAATTTCGATGCACTCGTTTCTTATTTTTTTTATATTTTTCAGATAATGACTTCGGTTGTTAATTTCTGGATCTAAATATATCAAGTTATCAGAGTTTTCATCGATAGGAAGTGTGGCGTAGTATAAAATTCTAGATAATGGCATGGAAGTATAATAAGGTAAGAAAAGTTTTAGCATTTTTGGAGAACATCTGTAAGCTGCTAGATTAGGCAAAAATGTTGCCGGGTCATTATTTATCAGTGCACATTTGTCAGCGCCGTGCTTTATTAATTCATAATCAAAACAATCGATATCAGTTTCGAATATCGTATCGAACACCGTATATTTGTTCCAACGAAAATTTCCAAATTTTTTAGGATGGAGTGTATAATGAGATAGCGGTACATCATCATCATCACGATGGTTTATCAGCTTCTCCATCCATATTGAAACCTCACATCTTAAAATAAATCTTTCAGTATTATAAATATCCCCTTTTTCCATAAGGTACATCAGCAATGTTTTGTTACTTCGGCTTATCATGTTTATGTTACATTCTTTAAAAAGTAAAGTTTTATCCAGTTCGTTGTTAAGAATCAGATAAGCAATGAGAGGTATTTTTTCACCGAAATCGGGATACCATTCTCTGTCTTTGAAGTGCTTAAACAAAATTTTTTTTCCAAATTCAATATCAACATTTGCTTTGGCGTTCACCAATGTGCCTATTGGACCGCCCCACTCTGGATACTCCTTGCATTTTTCATATAAACAAGCCAAAAGTAAGGGTTGACTCCCGTCAGCAGCCGTGGCATTGACATCTGCTCCGTAATCTTTAACCAGTAACTTCACCAATACAGGGCCATTTTTCATGCACGCAACATGTAATGCTGTAAAGCCAGCAAATTCTCCAGTTGTTATGATTGGTTGATTTACATCCATTCCATTTTCTAACAACAATTTTATATATTCGACTTGGCCATCTTCGATGAACCGGAGCAACATTGCGTTGCAAGCCATTTGATGTGGACTTAATTCAATATTCATTTTAGATATCGTTTACTGTAATATATTATGGAAATTAATTTAGCAGATATTTAATAATTTTTGCAACAAATAAATTATGGAAAAAAAAAAATTTTTTTTAGAATTGACATTTAGAAATTTAAAATAATAAAAAATGCAATTTTTCGGAACAAATTTGTTTGTTAAAAAAAATTTAAAAATTTTAAAGTAACAGCTAAATTTAATGTCATAAATATATTACTAAAATCAGATAAATTTTTCTGTAATTTACGCAAGCTTCAAACCAAAGCAAAAGATATGATTGTATTAGAATATCTTTCAGTCAATAAACTATAAATTCTGATGGTAATGAAATTAAGACACCTGCCAATTTTTTTGATTTTTTTATAACTAAATTATTATGAAAAAATTTTAATAAAAAAATTTCACGTCTAGAAATTTAATAAAAATTAATTTTGCAGATATTTAATGATACTAGGAATTTATTTTCAACAAATAAATTATCGCAAAAAAATTGACAATTAGAAATTTTAAAAAATCAAAAATGCAATCTTTTAAAAATTATTTTTCTTATTTTAACAGATCGTGGTAATTAGAATTGTGATAATAATTGACGAATTTTTATGACATTAAAGTTAGCAACTACGTGATTATTTTTTAGTTTTTTCTAACAAATAAATTTGTTCCAAAAAATTATTTTTGAAAAATTTTTTAATTTTTGAAAATTTCTACATTTCAATTTTTTTTTTAACTAATTTATTTCTCAAAAGAATTCTAAAAATTATCAAATATCTGCTACTTTAATTTTCATGAATTTTTAGGTTACTTTTTTTCAGAAAAATTTTTTTGCGCATGCAATAAAAATTAAAAAATCGTCAAAAGTGATTCCTAAATTTAATGTCATAGAAGTTAAAAAAAAATTACAAATGCAAATTTCGAAAAAAAATATTTTTTTTTTCATTGATTTCTGATAAAAATATTATTTTTCTTACCTTAAAAGATCGCAGTTGAAAAATGTTTTATTTTTTGAGGTAAAAAAAAATTTCTCAAAATTTTGCGAGCGCAGAAATATTGTGTTTTTTTAGCACGCTAACAAAAGAATAATGTTATTGTTATCTTGAAATTCAGTTGCACACTCCGTTATGATAAGTACTGACTTTTTTTAATTACTTTTATTTATTTTGTAATCTTCCACCTTAAAATTGTTATGAGTATTCATAAACTGCTAAAATGAGGTACGAAAATACATAAATAGAGCCAGCAGTTAAGTGAGGATAAAAGTTTATTATTAGAACCAGTAGCACAGTGCGCCATCTTGCGGTCCAACTTGGCGGCTTATTTACTAACTTTTTGGAGTAGAGGAATAAGTCACCTCTGTTTAAAATTTAATTAAAAAAATTGGTCAGTATAAATTATTTCAATTAAATATATATTTTTAAAATTTCCACCTCTTTCAATTGTTGTCTTAAATTTATCCCCGCTCTTCAAGAAAATCGCTTAATGTTTTTATAGATATGATTTATATACACATACTAGCTAAAATAATAATACTATAGAGTTAGCCGACGATTTTAATATTTTGAATTTTCTCTTATAATTAAATTAGATCTTAAAAATATTTCTCAAAAATTGCATTTAGAGTTTTTTTTAATTTTTTTCTCTGCAACAATTTTTTTTCGATTTTGATTCTGAAGAAAATTATTTTGAGGTAAGAGAATATGTTTACAATTACTACTTTAATTTTTTCAATGTATTTTGACTTAATTAATATATGCACAACATGAAATTTTCAATAAAACATTGCAGCTGACTGGTTAATTCTTTGATTATTCCAAAATTTTTTAAGAAAAAGGTTATCTATTCTACGACGGCAGTTCTTACTACCTACAGACATACAGGCACCATCACGGGCAAATAGTCAGGAAGGTTTCCTAGGACCTCGAAACGTCGAGATCCGTCGAAAACTCAATTTTTGAAAAACGGGGAAAAACCAATAACTTCCGAATTTTTGAAAATTTTCAATTTTCTTAGCGGGAAGTTAAAAAGAAAAACATATCAAGTGTAGTGAGCGAGTTTTATTGACGCTTTTATGAAAAATAATAACAATAATGAAAGTCGTGTAAACTTTAAATCAACTTACAAAAAATGTTATCTTTTTTGGTAAGACTACTTACCTAAAAATTTGGTTTATTATTGTTACTTATGATTATTAATTTTTTTCATATGACAATTTAATTATTTTTAGAACAATCTTCTAAAAAATATTAAAATTTATATCATCGTTAGGTCATTCAGAATTAACGTTAGTCAATAACAGATTTGGCATTTTATTTATTTATACTTGAATAAATATTTTAATTGAGAATTAATTACTCTTACTTCCTAACATTTAACAATTTTATTAAGGAAATATTGAAAACTCAGTATAAAATTACAAACTATAGTTATATATAAAAAGCTTTTATAAACATGTCCAAGTGTAGGTTGTTCAAGTACTCAACAATTTCCAACACCAATTCATATGGCAACGGTATAGCTTCTCTAAGAGATGAAATTTTCTTCAAATTTTCGAGATGTTTCAATCTGTTCATAAAATATTTTATTCTCTTTACAATTGTTTCATAAAAGTACTCATACTAATTACTGTCAAGATTCAACTTGTAATCTTCAAAAAAGTCATCCAGTGAACTTTCTCCTTGCGCCAATAATTTTATTTTTTTATCGTCATAAGCTAGCATTAGAAAATCAGACATTTTCATTTTTTTATTACCGAATTCTACATTCAAGGAATAAATGCCAGTTATTTTTTTTTTGTAGTTGCGTACAATGTTACTGATATTTTTGTCGCTTGAAATTAGTTTATCCATTAACTCAATTTCTTCTTTTGGAACAGGTGATTTAATTGCACGCCTAAAGACCAGATCCTTCAAAGCAATTTCGATGCACTTTTTTTCTATTTGCTTTGATTCTTTTCAGATAATAACTTCGATTTAATGGGCCCAAATATATCAAGTTATCAGAGTTTTCATCGATAGGAAGCGTGGCGTAGTGTAAAATTCTAGATAATGGCATGGAAGTATAATAAGGTAAAAAAAGTTCCAGCATACTTGGAGCACATCTGTAAGCTGCTAGATTAGGTAAAAATGTTGCCGGGTCATTATTTATCAGTGCATATTTGTCAATGCCGTGCCTTAATAACTCATAATCAAAAGTAACGCTATTAGTTTCGAACAGCGTATCTGTGTGACAACGAAAATTTCCAAATTTTTTAGGATGCAGTGGATAATGAGATAGCGGTACATCATCATCATCGCGATGGTTTATCAGATTCTCCATCAATATTGAAACCTTAGAGCGTGAGATTAATTTGTCAGTGTTATAAATATTGCCTTTTTCTATAAGGTACATCAGCAATGTTTTGTTACTTCGGCTTATCATGTTTATGTTACATTCTTTAAAAAGCAAAGTTTTATCCGATTCGTTGTTAAGAATCAGATAAGCAACGAGAGGTATTTTTTCACCGAAATCGGGATACCATTCTCTGTCTTTGAAGTGCTTAAACAAAATTTTTTTTCCAAATTCAATATCAACATTTGCTTTGGCGTTCACCAATGTGCCTATTGGACCGCCCCACTCTGGATACTCCTTGCATTTTTCATATAAACAAGCCAAAAGTAAGGGTTGACTCCCGTCAGCAGCCGTGGCATTGACATCTGCTCCATAATCTTTAACCAGTAACTTCACCAATACAGGGTCATTTTTCATGCACGCAACATGTAATGCTGTAAAGCCAGCAAATTCTCCAGTTGTTATAATTGGCTGATTTACATCCATTCCATTTTCTAACAACAATTTTATGTATTCGACTTGGCCATCTTCGATGAACCGGAGCAACATTGCGTTGCAAGCCATTTGATGTGGACTTAATTCAATATTCATTTTAGATATCGTTTACTGTAATATATTATGGAAATTAATCTAGCAGATATTTGATAATTTTTGTAACAAATAAATTATGGAAAAAAAAAAATTTTTTTTAAAATTGACATTTAGAAATATAAAATAATAAAAAATGCAATTTTTTGGAACAAATTTGTTTGTTAATTAAAAAAAGATTTAAAATTTTAAAGTGAAAGCTAAATTTAATGTTATAAATATATTTTACTCAAATTAGATTGGTAATTAAAATTGTGATAATAATTGACGAATTTTGAGGTTACTTTTTTTGATCAGAAAAATTTTTTGCGCATGCAATCAAAATTTAAAAATTGTCGACTGCTAATTTTTGTCATAAAAATAAAAAAAAAAAATTTCAAGTTCTAATTTAGGAAAAAAATATTTTTTTTCATAATTGATTTCTAATAAAAATAACATTTTTTTTACCTTAACAGATCGCGGTTACAATAAATTTATTTTCTGATGAAAAAAAAATTCCTCAAGATTTTAAGAATGCAAAGTGTTTTTTAGTACAAAATAACAAAAGAATAATATTATTGTGATACTGATTTTTTTTTTTTTTTTTTTTTGTTATTTTCCACCGTCAAAATTGTTATAAGTATTTAGAAAAAATAAAACAGAGAAAAAAGCATACAGATAACCGTTAAATGAAGTATATATACGAAAATACATAGAGTCAGTAGAGATAAAACCAGTAGCGCAATGCGCCATCTTGCGGTCAAATTTGGCAGCTTATTTACTAACTGTTTAGAGTAGGGGAAGTCGCTTTCTCAGTCGAAACTGTGACGTACCACGTGTCACTTAAAAAGTGTTTATAAATTTTATTATTGAAAATATAAATAAAAAATATTTAATAATAATAAAATAAAAAATTTCTATAAATTTTGAAATGTCAGCTAACTTTTTCATTAATGAATTCATTTAATTATTTTGAAAATTATTGACTGTATATTACACGGAAAGAACAAGATGACACTGGATACCATCTCAGATTATACTCAGTGACATCCGAGGCGAAAAAAAATTTCAGATGGTAGCTAGTATAATCCAAATTATACTGAATAATATATAGATTATACTCATTGTAATCTGGATTATACTAGCTACTATCTGAAATTTTTTTCACTCAGTATAATCTGGGATTATATCCAGTATAATCTTGTTCTTTCCGTGTAGTCATGAAATATTAATAAATTTTGAATAATTTATATAAATAGCAGGTACAATTTTTTTTATTCTTTAATCTGGAATTAGAGTTAAAAAAAATTGAGTTTTAAGTGTGCAGACAGCTTACATTTATTTAAATTATAAAAAATTATTTTATCAAACTTGAAATTGAAAAAAAAAAAAAAAAAAAATAGAGCTTTACGTTTAAGAAAATATTTATAATTTAAAAAATGTCTTCTGCTAATTTTAGACTCGTAAAAATAAACTTTTTGTAAAAAATAAAAAATTAATATTTACAAATTTAACTATCTAAAATTCAACAGATTTTTCTTTATCCTTAGTCAGAAGCTGCATAGCACGTTGAGATTTCCCGATGCCTAGCTTAGGTAATCCGCGATTCAACCCTTCCAGCAGAATGCAAGCTTTGCAAATTTCCTGACTGGACACGAATCCGCAACGACTGCAGTGTCTTCGCTCAGGCATCTTCACAGTCCCTTTGACCTGCAACCTTTCGCCCGAATGGATAATATCAATGATTGAGGATGGCCGTACTTTTTCCAAATTTTTCAAAAAAGTCCTCGTGTGTCCGCGATACGCGTTCGGAGCGAATATACACTCGGTTGAGAAGTAAACGAGCTGTTTGTAGTAAGCGTACATTACTATTTCCTTTTCGTAAGTGTACTTCAGTGGTTTGCAGCGCATTATTGTATCTTCACCAGACTGTTAGAGTAAAAATAAATTAATATTAATAAAATTTTAATTGAAAATTAATTTTTCAGTTTTTAAGTAAATTAAAAATCCGAACAAAAACAGTTTCACTGTAAAAAAATCGCGCCAAGTTCACGTTCATAAGACTATTAAGAAAAAAAAAATTAGTTTTTTTCTTTACAAAAAGATATAAAATAAAAAAATTAAAAAATCAAAGTAACCGATATGATTGTTTATGATTTTCGGAAATTAAAAAAAATTTGTTGTAAATTTAAAAATAAAAAAAACAATTTTGGAACGTACTTGGTGTGCGTCACATTGTGTATTTCAATTTTTTTAAAGCCCTAGTAAATAGATTTTACGAATTTAATTAAAAGTAAAATATTTCGCAACAACGCACACTAAATACGTTCCAAAATTGTTTTTTAAATTTTTAAATTTACAACAAAATTTCTTTTAATTTCCGAAAATCATAAACAATCATACCGGTTACTTGGATTTTTTAATTTTTTAATTTTATATCTTTTTTGCAAGTTCTGAAATATCTTTTTTTTTTTTAACTGTAGTTTCCCATCTGATGAAGGATTACTATGCATTCTCGAATATTTTAGTCTGTGGCAGATCACTTTGCCCATCGACAAAAAGTCAGGATCGAAATTTTTGCGTTGCTATAGTTTGTGCTGATTAAATTTATTAATTTCAAGTAGATTAATTGTTATAAGTGAATATAATTAATTAATAACAGTAAAATAAAGTATGAATTACTGTTATAATATACAATTTAGGAAAAAAAAGTACCGTAGAATTAAATCAAATTTTGCAACCTCAAAATACCGTTCTGCTTACAGTAAACACAGTCGGTAGTCTGGCGCTCCGTTGACAACGGATTTGAACGGAACTTGGCGCCAGATTCTACCGAATCTGTGGATTAGTCAAATTTTTGTTAAAAATTAATTTTTAATTTGTTTAAAAAAATTTTAAATTAAAAAAAAAAGTTGATAATTTAAAAATTTTTTAGTTTTTAACTAAATTAAAAATTAATGAAATTTTTATCAAAAATTAAAAAAAATTAATCAATTATAAATAAAAAAAATGTAATTACCGTAATTATAGATGTACATCTTTCAAGCCTAGCAATATCTCCCCGTAAAATATTCATCAAAACAGTCTCTGCAATATCATCAGCATTGTGTCCAGTAGCAATGCAATCAACCTCCAGAAGAGCAGCACCACGGTCTAAAGCTTGGCGTCTAAATACCCCGCAAAAGGTACAATTATTTTTACGGCCTATTTGTTCGACTATTTTGTCCATTGTCCAACCGTAAAGGTCCTTGTAAGACAGAATTTTAAGAGGCATTTGATAGTCATCTCTGTTCTGCTCGACTGTTTTCAAACTATCATCCCTGTAACCTGCAATTTTATGATTAATAAAATTTTTTTACTCTGAAAAAATCTTGTGAAAATTTTTTAAAAATAATTTAACAATACTAAAGTTAGCCGACGTCTTTAATTTCTTAATTTTCTTCTCATTAATTAAGTTAGAACAAAAACATATTTTTTTAAACTTGCAATTAAAGTTTTTTACAATTAAAATTTTTTTTTTTCAATTCTTTTAGTAATAATTTTTTGTATAAAAAAAATTTTTATGTCAGCTAATTTAATTTTCATAATAATTTATCAGTTTAAAATTTTTATTTAATAAATAGCGAAAAAAAAAAAACTTACCTGTTATTCCCTCGTCAATTGACAATAAAAATAAATCAAGCCCATAATTGTATCTGTCGTTTAAAACTTTAAGAACATAAGCCAGGACAGTTGAGTCTTTGCCACCTGATGCTCCTATTGCAACTTTGTACCCGGGTTTGAATAATTTTCCATTAACTATCGTGTGATGGATTTCTGTCTCAAAGGCCAGAAAAAAACATTCTTTGCACAGTGCATCTCCAGTTTTAGGTCGCTGAAAAATTTAAATATGTAATTAAAAATTCATCGCAGTAAAAAAAAAAAACTTTTAAAAATTTCCATTAATAATTTATTTTCTTTTTATTCTTATTTACTACTTAATTATTATAAAAATCTAAAAAATTAATTATTGTCAAAGTAACAGACAACTGTCAATTTTTTTAATTTTTATGACAACTAAATTAATAATTATAAAATTTAAATAAAAAAATTTTCAAGTATAATATATTTTTTTCCTTATAAATATTTTAAAACTCACCTTTAGTATTGCTTTATTGGAACAATTTGCTGAACATTTTGGTGGCATTTTTAAATTAAATAATTAATAGACAATAATTAACAATAAATACTTATAACAATGTAAGTAAATAAAATAGGTTAGTTTTTTGGACTCTGATTCGTGGTTACAGCAGATTGTAATAACAAAAATATTTACACACGTGCTACATTTTAGTAGACAAAAGTGAAATTGATGTTACTGACTGCAGAATAGTCAGCGCCCGTCCTAAATAAATTTTTAGTTTCTGAATTATTATTATTATTATTAATTATTAATAATACTATAGAGTTAGCCGACGTTTTTAAATTTTGGATTCTTTTTTAATAATTAAATTAGAAAAAAAAATATTTTTTAAAAATTGCACTGCCAGTTTTTAAAGAATTTTTTACAGATGTAATTTTTTAAAAAATTTTTTTATCATTTTTTCAATTAAAAAAAATTATAAAAATTTTTAGATGGCTAACTTAATTTTCATAATTATTATTATTACTCTCCACGTGCAATATGGCAACAGGTGTTATTTTTTAATGTCATTTTTTTTTTTTAACAAATAATTTTCATGTGTCATTTTTTTGCTATCATTTATTCGTTATAAAATTCTTAAAATAATTAAATAATTATTAAGAGAATAAGAAAAATTTATGAAAATTAAGTTAGCTGACATCTGAAAATTTTTAGAATTTATTTTTATTGAAAAAAATTATTACAAAAAAAATAAAAAAAAAAAAATTTCATTTGTAAAAAACTTGAAAAACTGTAAGTGCAATTGCATGCCTTAAGCGCGAAGCGCGCAGGTATGCTCTACTCTCGCCTAAAAATCGTGATTTCGATTAAAACGTGATTTTCATAATTTAAACGAAAAAAATTATGGATAAAAAGCATATTGAAATAAATAATAGTAACTATAGAAGACATTAAAAAAATTTTCTTATCGATTAAATAAGATTTCTCAGAAAAAACTCGTTTTTCTGATGAATTAAATGGATAAGAGCGTGGTATTCACGGGAGCTATGGGCTTGATAACACCACAACTTTGTCAAAAATCACTTTCACGATTTAATTTTTTTTTTGTTTTATTCCTGAGGAAGTTTATCAAAACCCTTGTGAAAATTGCGTGTCAAAATAATTCCGTTTCGATACAGTTAATTTTTTTCGATTGTCAGTTCGGTGACTTTTTCTGCGATTTCGGCAGCCATATGTATTATTTTTCATAAACAGAATTGAAATAACTATAATTACTAACTGTTTTATCATCTGTTAAAATTTTTCTTTAGTTCGACCTACAGAGGGCATAATACTACTCGCGGGAAAATTCAAATTAAAAACGAATAATTTTTGTTATGATCTGAATATTTTATGTATGACATGAGCGCTTAAGGCATGCTCATTTGAATTTTCCAAACTTTTTTTAAAATATATTTTTTTGTTCTAATTTAATTAATTAAAAAAAATCAAAAAATTAAAAACGTCGGCTAACTTAAGTATTATGAAAAATTTTGGGTCCAGGATAGTCATTTTTTACGTGAAATTTTGGGGTCATTTGAGTGATCCGAACGGAAATGTAGTCAATGTAATAGGACGATAAAAAAAAATTTTAATGCTTTGTAAATAAATTTATCAAAGATTTCAGAGTATTTTTATATTCAAGAAAATTAAACATCACATAATTTCAGATATTTATTTTTATTAATAAATTATTGAAACACTTTTATACATTTTTGAAGCAAAAAATGAAAATTAATTTAGCTGACATTTGATAATTTTAAGAATTTTTTTTAACAAGTAAATTATGGTAAAAAAGAATTAGAAAAAAAAATTGACATGTAGAAATTTACAAAAAATTAATAATGCAATTTCTTAGAAATAATTTTTTGGAACAAATGTATTTGTTGAAAAAAATTAAAAAAAAATCAAGTGACTGCTTACTTCAATGTCATAACTAAAAACAAAAAACTTTTAAATTTAATTAACTCAACCAGTATTTATTTTTATCGAAGTAGATTATAGTTTAAAAATTCATAATCGCTGATTGAAAGGTGTACTAAAATATATTGTAGGTGATACGAAGTTCACCGGGTCAGCTAGTACATTATAGAAATAATATGTCAGAAATATAAATAAAGTTTGGAAAATATAAATGAGCATGCCTTAAGCGCTCATGTCATACATAAAATATTTAGATCATAACAAAAATTATTCGTTTTTAATTTGAATTTTCCCGCGAGTAGTATTATGCCCTCTGTAGGTCGAACTAAAGAAAAATTTTAACAGATGATAAAACAGTTAGTAATTATACCATCATGTATGTATAGTTTCTGCTTGTTTATAGTTATTTCAATTCTGTTTATGAAAAATAATACATATATGGCTGCCGAAATCGCAGAAAAAGTCACCG